AAATAGAACACGAAACCTGAGAAAGACTCTGTCTGTACTTCTCATGCCATTTATGAAAACATAACCCTAAGGCAAATTGTCTAACCTCTCTGAGGTCCAAATTCCTATCTGAAAAGCCTGAATAAGACAAGAGGCAAACTGTTTGGACTAATAATTGTGTTATTGGAAGAACTGAAAGGGATCCACAAGAAAGCAATGTGAAATAAATGGATTCTTAAAAGTACAAACAATATTATTTTACATTTTAAAGTTATTCCCATTTTAAAAGATAAATTACATATTTTAAAGTGTTGACTAATGTAAAAAATATACATCAAAAATAGTAATGTTCTCTGTATAGTTCTGTGCCCCCTGATTTCACTTCATATAGTTAGTAACTTTCAATACCCTTGGTATGTCTCCTGCCATTAATTCCTCATTTCTAAGTAATATGCTTTTATAAATATACTTATATATTGTACAGTTAACCTGTTATGAATTACTTAGCACTTTTGAACATAAAGCTCTAGCTTATATTCCAAATCACTTACTATATTCATTAATTAATATTAAAATTGTTAAGAGGGTATATCTTTCTACTATATACTGTACTAGGGTTTGATTTCTATTCTTTAAAATTTTTTCTGCGGAATTATCTTAGTTATTTGTGTTTTTGTGGTTACTGTTTAATACACTCCAACAGATCTTTCAAAGCACAAGTATTCCAAATGCCCAGGCGTATCAGTTTCTTTTTCACTCTCAGACACTACCTTTCCTTAGCTATCTAACAGCCTTTTCTAATAGTGACTGTAGAGCTGTGGACACTGGAAATCACCCACTTTGGGGAGTCCCTTACTGTATTTCATGGATGCCTCTTTTCTGGTTTCTTTCTTAGTGCATTGTCCAGTATCATCCCAAAACAGAACTTACAAGACACAAACTGTATTTTGATTCTTTGAAAATTTAACGTGTCACATAGCATCCTCTCACTTGAGTGAATCTGGCGAAGTATAGGTCTCTTTGTCCACCTTCCATGAATGCTCTCCCTGCTCAGCAGCCACAGTGAACAGCGGACTATAGAATAGTCCACTATAGTTCTGGTCCAACTGTGGAGCACTCCAGAAGCATGAACCCCAGTGCCTTCCAACATAAAACCTGCCCTTGCAATGGTATATAGACAGACGAAGTGATGTGACTCTGCTGACTTTAGGAATATTAAGTTCAACAGTCTCCTTTGCCAGTGAGAGGCACAACGAGTTTACAGCACTCAGAAGATCTGAAATACACAGGCTAGGAGTTACATGCACGCCAATCATTCTTTTGTTCCAAATACCGACCTCATCTAATTCTCCATCCAACATCTTATCCAGGGAAGGGCCACAGATATTTTTACTCCTCCCTCCAGATCAGCCTTTGAACATGGTGTCATTAAACATGCCAAGTGAACACATTCTAGGCTGTATTTTTCATGTGGTGATGGTTGTTTCTTATTACATTATATGTACTTAGAAAATCCTTGCAAATAGACACAATATTCTTGCCTTAATATCTTGTGAAAATATGTGATATTAAATGGAATCCATCTAAGTTTTTCTTTCTCAGTACTTTGGATGGAAAATTTTAATGCAAAACGTTGTTTCCCATCAGATTGTTAGCGTACCTCTAAAATATGTTGTTAAAATTGTTTCATGCATTTTATCATCTATTTCACTCCTCATCAATTTATTTTCCAAGTTGAAAATTAAATATCTTCAGAGATTTGAAGTCCTTACTATACTGTCTTCTACTAGGAACTAGTATTTTTGTTGGGACATCCCATAGTGTTCTAATTCCCAGTTGGGTTGTACACTCACTCTAGCATGTAGACTTTACTAAAAAGTAGGCAAAAAGTAAACATATTTTTCTGAGTGTGTCCAGAATATTCAGAGGAAAAGTGTACAACACACTAACTGGATGTAGAAATAACCTTTTCAAGGAGACATAAGGCTTCACTTACTCCATTTTGCAGAATAGAAGTTTCATGTTTTATAAGGACATTAGAAAACAAAATTTATAAACCAAACACACAAAAATGGAGATGCTTACCAAAAGAACTCTTAAGCAGCTAAATGTGTCTATACTATACTCTAAACTAAATAGAAATATGTGATTGTTTAGCATTAAACAATATATTGTTAATCTTTAAAACATAAAATGCCAGTAATTCTAACTGCAATAATTACATTGTTGAGATCTACTTATTGGCCTTTTCTCCTGCTTTATAGTTAATAATTCTGCCCACTTTTCATTTTCCTTTCTCTTAAATCTACCTCAATGGTATCTATGAAGCCTAAGACTATTTTTAAACAGTTGGGGAAAGTAGAATATTATCAAATAGCAATTCTTATATATTTTGTCTAACATTATATATTATGTCTAACATAATGTCTAACATTCTTTATATATTTAAAAATATAATGTCTAACATTCTTATATATTGTGTCTAACATTGTATATTATGTCTAACATAATGCCTAACATTCTTTATATATTATATAAAAATATAATGTCTAACATTCTTACTACAAAATATTACTCTTTAGATAGATTAAATGTGCTACAGTCTGAAGATGTGAGCATTTTCAGTTTTCTGATACATGTTGCTAACTAGAAAAATAGAAAGGAGGCAAACCCTAATTAAGAGAAACTGTCAAAGTTTTTAAAAGTCATAGAAGTGCATGTCCTAAACTTTATATATATTGGGCTCCTGCTCAATTTTGACTGACCAAGAAACTGTCAGCATTTAACATCATTTTCTACCATGTTTTCATTGAGTAATAGTGATAGGAAGAGAAATTTTCAAGTTCCTGTCCTCTCTGATCCATTGATGTTTTTCTATGACCTTCTGTCTTGACACTGTTGGACCTCAATTTCACAATCTATAAAACCATTCCTGTTAGATTTACTATGGGACCCATTACTCTATTCTCTGTATTACTTCAGCGGGGAAACAAAGATGATACATCCATTCCACATTTCTTTATTATGAGTTCAAAATAACATATGCTTTCCAAATTATTTATATCACCCTAAAATCTGTTTTTTTTTCACTGATTGCATTTTAATTATTTTATTGCATTGTAATTATTTTATTACAGATAATAATTTATTTGACACAAACTTAAGACAATTTATTAGTAGTGACTGGAGTAAAGAAACATCTTTAAAGGAAATTTAATAGTTTAATATGTAGCTGAAAAACCACAAAATAAATGTCATAGAAAATAGGATGATAAAAGAGGTTTTTTAGCAATAAATGTTTTTAAACATTTAAATTACCATTTAAACTGGTAATTTCAACTTTATTTAAATTCTCAATATTTGTTCTCTTTTTCTCTTGGTAGGCAGGATTGTAGAATTAAGAAGACAAAAAGCACATACAGCAATGATAGGAATATACATTGAAGTTTAAATTTTGTAGGAATTACAATAAAAGACACTTTGTCGTTAATTCCTGTCAAAATACTTCTCTTTTCAAATATACTTACCCCTTCATTTTTGCCACTTTCTGTAGCAGTTCTGGAAGTCCTCTTTCATGAGTGTCTTCATGAGATATGATCAAAATTTAGTGAAAGCTGCTACTACCCAACAGAAGACAGGCTGTTAAAAACATGATGTGTTTATTATGATCCACCTCATTATGATGAGGTAGACGATAAAAACATCTACCTCATTCACCAGACCTGGCACCATTCTAACTCTTCCCTAAGTCAAGGTGACTGTGAAAGATAACACTGTGAATCAGTTCAGGGCACCCAGGCAACCACAACCACACAGCTAAAGGCACTAACAAACTGCCTCAGGAATTGGCAGAAATGATGGCAAAGGGTAAAAGTGTTCAGAGCAAGGGGACTAATGGCACTGTCTTTTACAATAGATTCTTTTTAAAAAAATGTGAATAACCATATTTTTTGATCCCACCTTGAGTGCTCCCAGTGTAACAATAGCTCTGCTGCACAGGTCCTGTCTCATTATAATTTTGTTACAATAAGCAATATAATTATAAAATTAAATTTTATTTAAATATCACCCCAAAAATCATTTGAATCTTATATATTCAGGCACAGAATTCATTTACATTAATTGCTTAAAGAAATATCAAAAGGAAGAGCCCTCTATTTTTCTATAATACAGATATTTTAAACTTTGATATTTCTTCAAAATGCTGCATATTTTCAAGAATATTTTGCAAATGTCATCTTTTTTGAATAGATAATAAAATTCTTATGTATAACTATTATACTACTTTTTACTATGATTATGTCACTTTCCTTACATGAGAAAATAGCTGTGCACAGATGTAAAATATTGTCATGATTTATTGATCCAAGAGTCACTGCCTTTGATTAAATGCTCACGAACATCTGTGGGTTCAGCTAGATGACTCATAGATCAGGTTATTGATTTAACTTTATGTACAGTATTTTGATTTTGTTTGAAGAATGAGACTAAAGTGAAAATTGTTCTTGATAGTGCAATTGCTATTCAAATTATATAACTCAGGGTTGAATTATCACTTTGCCTTATTTTACCAAGCAATTAACTTAAGATGTGTATTTTAAATGTGTTCATCTGCCCTCTTTCTATACATAAAATAATTCCTCAGGGCTCCCTGTGTGATTTTATTATCTTGGTGGTTCGAAGCTCAGGAAAGAGCCTCGCCATCCGCTGTCTGCGTCGTGCTCCTGTCCTCATCCCTTCGGTACCCGCACCGTGCTGTGCACGCTTCTGACAGAGGGCAGCACAGGGCGCTTCCTCGGCACCTATGTGCCAGCTGTTTGGTTTGCTGTTTGTTTCTGATACCCTTGGGTATCATCCCCATGGTGTATCCCAAAAATCAAAGGAGAGAGGGTGTCCAGCACTAATGCTCCCTGCTTCTGTATAACATTAGAGGAAGAGAAGACACATTTCAGTACAGTGACGTCGCGCTAGCCATCGGCGTGACACCTGGCTAGTACTCAGGATTCTGATACCAACAGTCAGTCTGCACTGTCTCCAGCTCACCATCCTCATGTCAGTTACATGAGACGGAAATTAGACTGGAATTTTGACAACCGCTTACAAGGTTTTAATAGTTTAGCATTTGCTATTTCACTCTGAATTTTTCAACTTTTGCTGAATCTTTACATAAACATTAGAGTTAAAACAATATTTTAGAAGCAAAACTTTATTATCAAAAAGGAAATGATTATTTTCCTTATTATAACTGGATAAAAATACTTAACCTGGGCTAATATTGAAATATAGAGTTATGAGGAGGCCACAGTAAAAAACAGAAAATGTGTACCTTTGTGCACACATATGTCCATCTACAATGTCCCATTTTATGTGTGCTACATCTGAAATCTACATTAGAGATAATAAAAGAGAAAAATTTTTCTTGAGTCAGTAGACACTTTAATCAAAGATATGAAAACAGTTTCTGCCTTTATTCGGCATGCAGACAAAAACCCCAAAACAAGAGAAAATAAAATATAAGAATGCCACAGAGGATGACTATGTCAAGAAATTTTCTAAGTAGATAACTAAAGGTACTTCTTAGAAAAAAACATAATATTAAAAAACAAACAAAATAGATAATAATAAATTGTTATGCAATTTTAAGAAGAAGAAATAAGGAAACATACATCCTCTGTATTCGGTTTGAAGAAGTTCACTGTGCTTAGATGTTTCCGACAGAAGATTTACACAGACAGATCCTAACAAAGGTTTGAGCTACAAAGACAAAGAAAATGCACAAAAATAAACTGATAGATAAAAGAATCAACTTGCTTACACACGAAAAGTATTTTGATAGTCTCTGATATCTACAAGTAAATATTTTAATAATATTGACAAACATCTATTATAATAATACCATATATATCTCAAATAATAAATTAAGCTTTTAATAATGTTGACTAGATGTTTAATAACATGTAAATTTTAATATTAAGCATATAGACTTGGTCAGAAAACAGAAAAGGCACAATATATAAAACAGATTTATAATAAATGGATAGGTACAGATATTTAAGCAAATGAACACAGAAAACATAGGTGATAATACACAAATATGAAATTAAAGTGAAATATTTAAATAAGATTGAAGCTAAGTATCTTTGAATACATGAATAATAATTACATTTAAAACCTTTCAGAATTTGGTAGATAAAGTATATAAGCATACATACATACCCAAATATTATAGAAAGCATTAGATTTTTAAATTCATAAAATTTTTTAAAAAATAATTTATTTTCAAATACCCATGGTCTAAGTTATATACTAAATCTGATTTTTCTTTTTGGTACAGGGAATTGAACTCAGGACCTTGTGCTTGCCAGGCAGGTGCTTGTGCCACTGAACTATATCCCTGACCCAGTTATATCCTAAATCCTAAAGTCTATTTTTTTTTTAATTTAAAGAAACCAAGAAAAAAAAAAAAAAAAAAAAAACAGATACAGAATTTCAAAACAAGATGGTAGGATATTAACAATGGTCATTATAATGCAGATTGTTACTTTCTAAGTAGTTGCTCAGATTACCAGGTATAGACATGAAAAAGTGATCAAACAATATAAGCACTAATGGTTCCTTTCAATGAACTAATAGAAATTAGTAGTACAATTTTCTTAGCTCTCTTGTGTATACATGCATATCTTTTTCCCCCGTCCTTCTTTTCTCTTTCCCCCATCCCAATTGTTCTTTCCTTTTGAGAAGTGTCTTTTCCTTTCACTATATATATTGTACCTTTGGATCTTATTTACTTTTTCAGTCTTTTACACTTGGGAGACAATATGATGTTTACACATAAAGTCTAATTTTTTGAAGTTAGTATCTGAACCTAATGTAGCAAACTTATACAGCATATTATCTTTTAATGAGATTTAGCATTTTAGAAAATTCTTCAATTAATTCCTTATAATCTTAAACCTAATGAAAACCACTTTGATATCTTTCAAATTTGCAGATTTAGCAATTTTTAAATGGATGGACTAAATATAGAGAAGGTATGAAGCATTTCATGAAAACTTTATAGGATCCTTTATAATAAAATTTAAGTGTATAAAATATATTTCATTTAAGAGACAATGAATAATAAAAATAACACAATAAGAGGAATTAGAAAGATATTTAAACTACTGCTACTTAATTTACTATTGATTAAAGACATTAAAATTACAACTAAAATGGTATATTATTTTACCTTTCTATTTCTCAAATTTTCTTCTGGAAGCTAATGTTATGCATTCCTGTGATAAGGTGGACATTTTCTGGAAGATAGTTACATGATATACATAATGACATTCTTCAAACATAAATATCAGTAAGTCCAGTAATTCCTTTGAAATACATTTTTACAACAAATCAGTAAAATATGCACACAAAAATTTAAGTACAATTTTTTTAGTGCTACCTTCTTTATAATAGTTAGAGAATTGAATGTACGTAAAGGTCCAACAAATATGCAATGGATAAATTATTTTATGACACATTTATATAATAAAGCATTAAGCAGATATTTGATAGTAGTTTGGACTCATATTTAATGATGTAGAAAATATTTTTTTTTTTTTTTTTTGGTTTTTCTCCGGTACCGAGAACCGAACTCACGACCTTGCGCTTGCCAGGCAGGCGCTTTTGCCGCTGAGCTAAATCCCCAGCCCTGTAGAAAATATTTATGTTAAATTAAAAACAGAATGCATAATTGTATGACCAATACTATTTATTGTTTTTTAATTGACAAATGAAAGTTGTTTATATTTATGGAGTATGACATGATGTTTTACTATATGTATACTCTGTAGAATGGCTAAATCAAGTTTATTAACAAATGCATTACCTCTCATACTTATCGTGTTTGTGGTGAGAATACTTAAAATCTACTCTCTTGGCAATTTTCAAGTATACAATACTTTGTTAATAACTGCAGTCACCAAAACGTACAATAGTTCTCCTGAACTTGTTCCTGTTAGCTAGCTGAAATGTATCCTTTGACCAATTGTGTTTAAAAATTTTAAACTAGTGATATATATTAATGTAATAAGATATAAAATTCACTTTATTTACAAGGTTGGACAAAAACTGACAAGTAGGCCTGAAAGTTAGTATGAGAACAACTTAGCAAGGTAATTACCAGAAACTAGCTTCAACAAATAACAAATACAAAATAATTATTGTAGTAGATGCAGGCAGATAGCCTGTGGAATTCACTAAGACATGGCTGAACTCAAACTACTACCCCAGTCTTTACCTTCCCTGTGTCTTTCTCCTCCTCTTGTAGTATATGTGCACAACAGTAGGATATTGCCCAAGTAAGAAGATGGATAAAGCTTTTAATCTTTCCAAATTTGAATCAAGTAATGAAGCTGCCTTCAAAGCAAAGAAGTGGACTCCAGGAAAAGCACTGATAGGTATTGTTGTACCATATAGAACAGGGAGGCTGATGTCTTAGAAAACATCTTTACTGTTATAGTAGATTGCACTTTGGCTACTGCACTCCTTTGAGCAAAGGCTGCCTTAGACTTGGAAAAAAACAGCAGATCAGAAAGGCAACCTTCTCAGGAGGCTGAGGCAGGAGGATTGCCCTGAGTTCAAGGCCTGGCTGAGTGACATAGTGAGACCCTGTCTCAAAACAAAAAAAAGGCAACCATGAGCAATCTGTGGTAACCCCATTCATTGCTAACACATAAACTTCCCTCCGGTAAAGTGCAGGTTTACATGGGAGGAGCAGTGTACAGGGTGAAGCAGTCAGGTCACAGACAACGTACTTGATAGGGAACTGTGCAGTCAGAAGCCTCTGTGGTCCAGTTATAGAGATCACACAGGCAGCTCTCAGCATACGGAATGTTGTCCGACGACCAGCGTTAGTGAAAATGTTTTTCTCTCCTCAGCCCCGTGCAGTGGGCACACAAGGAGCCTAAGGAACGCAGGCATTCAGTAATCTGCACAGCAACGTGTTAACAACCAGAGTTCACGGAAGCGCGAGTGCAGGCGAGGAAGTGCAGGAGAGAGCAAGTAGGGATGCAGGAGGGCGCGGCGAAGCTTTACACTGGGCCTGGGATTATAACTTTAAATAGAAAAGCCTAGACTGAAGTTTATGGAAATCGAGAGAAATTTCTATCTATGAATTTTCCAAAGTTGTACTTCAGAAATAAGAGGAAAAATAAAACGCAACAGCAAGGTAAAAGGCAATGACGGGAAAGAGCTCAAATCATATATTTCTGCAGTCCAGTGGTTATAGACTGTTTAATTAATTGGATAAAGTATGTAATTGCTTGACAAGAAAATGAATAATCAAAAAAAAGAGTAGCATTATCACTTGAATAATGCTATATAATAATTTTGAATACAGTCTTGAAAAGGACTGTGCTAGCTAATTTTATTCAAATAGGTCAATTACTCAATAACCTAGGAGCAGTGGTGGAATCCTTTATAGCTAGCATTTTATGACAACCCTAAATTGTAGCTTTAACAAATTTCTATTTCAATTAAACTAGTTAATGTCTAATGCCTAGCTTTAGAGTTTTAGAGACTAAATTATCTGCTCATTCTATGGCATGAAAATTAAGGGTTTCATCCAATTATCTAAATAAATATAAAGATACTTCTTAGGGATAGTTTTGATCTAGTTCATAGGTCCCCTTAAAACTGCTCTTCGTGTTGAAGGGTAGAGACAATTCCTGGGAGCAAATTCAGGCTCCAATTTTATGACTTCATTTACTTTGCTTTTGTAAAAGCAGAGGGATCATTTATCAGTCAATAACTAGGACATGCACTCACTGAGATATTAATGAATTATATAGTTCAGCAATCCCAGGCCATAGTAAAAGATTAAACCCTAGCTCTGAGCCTTCTCAGCTATGGGAATTTGGACAAGTTGTGTGACTGCTTAATTTTCTCATTTTTTAATATAAAGGGGACTAATATTTTCTTGTATTATAAAAAAGAAAAACAAATAGTTACAAAAATTGCTTATTCTATCAATATTAATGAAGATACTGATTTTGAGAAACTGTTATAAGCAGCTCTTGACAAAATCAATGAAAACAATATTTGAGATTTTTTAAAGTGATAAGCATAAATTGTGCCACCTTTTCCTAATTTATATTCCTTTTTTCACCTTCATACCTGAATCATATTACTTTAGTACCCTCATATATTTTCTGGATTATTTTTCAGTACTCATACAGCTAAGGGTAAGAAATGGATAATAAAGACTGCATAAGAATACCTGTTCTATGAGCATCTCTATGATACTTTTATAATTGAATCTCAATAAAATTCTTCATCCTTCCCCAACAAAAAGCATATTACTTCCTTTCAATATGCAATAAGATCATATTTTTTAGTTTTACAGATGGAAAACAGGGTAACTTATATGGCTTGATGCTCACATGGGAATATCTGGTCAGCAGAACAGGAAAATAGACCTTGAGGTGTAGCTCTCAATTGCCTCACACCAAGCAGGACATGTCACTTTTGCTCAGAGTTCATTGGTGCAAAGAATACACACACACACACTAATCAAAGAGGATAGAAAACATAGTTTAACTGTTATCATGAAAAGGTGCAAGTTTGATGAGCATCTATCAAATGTATGATACAAATTTCATATGAATGCATAGATTTTACAGATTCACTTGTCAGAGATAATTATTTATTTATTTTTTATTACCTTGGTACAAAAATTGCTATTACATTTCCAGTGTGAAATTCACCTTGCTCCCTGAAAGGAAGTTAATCTTACCCAAGACAGGGAGTCAACTAAACTCCTGATTAGTTTTAAGTGGAGAATAGTTGTGAAATCCAACTTCAGAGGACTAGGTTAGCTGCCTGAGTCAAAATTACTGAAACTTCTGGGTCATTTCTAAAAGTGACAGATTAGGAAACATAAATGGAAGTGAAATTTATTGTTCATATTGTAAGTTGCTCTACTTTTTTTGTATAGTAGTTTCATTAACTATTGTTTTTATTTTTTATTTTAAAGAGAAAAGAACAAAAACAAAATAACAAAAACAATGAAACCAATACAGATTTTCAAAAGAAGGTGATAGGAAATTAACAATAGTTGTTGTATTACATATTGTTATCTTCAAAGTAGTTGCTCAGATAGCCAGATATAGGCATGTAAGGTTCAGCAAACAATTAAACATTAACTGTTCCTTTCAATAAACCAATAAAATTAGTAGTACAATAATCTTAGCTGTCTCTACTGAGACGTTTCATGACCTTGACAATAGTTCCTTTAGACATCAGTTAAAGTCCTCCCAGGCTCTGTTTAGAGCATTTTATGTGAATGATATTTGGGTCCAGGTATGTTTGAAATGTACTTTTCACTTCTGACTGCAATTAGAAATTGGTCTGTGGGTTATCTATTCTTCCTGAAAGAATTAAAAGCATCATAGTGCAGTGATATACACATTCCCATGTTCATAGCAGCACAGTTTTTAACAGCTAAATCTTAGAAACAGCCCAAATGCCCATTAGCTGATGAATGGATAAAGAACATGTGGTTTTGTATATACAACGGAGTACTACTCAGCCATAAATAAGGATAAACCTGAGACATTTATAGGTAGATGGATGCATCAAGAGATCATACTCTTAAGTGAAATAAATCAGACACACATGTATAAATACCACATAGTTTCACTGGTGTGAGAAATGGAAAGTGTAAATGAGGACCAAAAGTTATAACAGATATTGTGAAATAGGATGATCATGTTCAAATGGGAGGGGACTCAAGGGAAGGGGTGGGGGAAAGGAGGAAAAGGAAGAAATGAGAAAAGAAAAATAAAATGCAAACAAAGCTTTTGTAAATAAGAAGGGGGCAGGGATAGAAGAGAGGGGCAAGGAATGGGGGGAAATAAGAATCAAGATCTATCATACACAGGTACAAATTCTCTGACGACAAAACATTTAAAAAAGAAGTTGGTCTGACTTCTGTCACTAATAGCCAAATTGTGAAAATTTTCTTTATACAATAAATAGTAAATCTTTCTGGAACACAGTTCCATAGTCAATTATAGGGAAAATGTAGGTTATATTTGCTGTCACAAATTGCTATAAAACTCAAACTTTACATAACCAAGTTTCAAGAGTTCTGTCTTCACACATTGAACAGAAAAGCATCATCACTTATTTTTATTACTGAAGCCTGAAATTCTAAAAGATATTTTGTGTATTTCACTTGCAAGGCCCTTTCTATTCCCAAATTCATTCATATGCAGAATTACCCATGATATTCTGAAGAAAACAGGATGTCAGTCTCTAAATGAAACACTTGGAAGGAGGATTATTTCTATTTCAAGCCTCCAGTTTATTTTAATTTATTTGCTGATAGAGCCAAGATCTGCAAGGAGCAGTCCCACATTCTCATGCTGATTTTAAGTGCAAAAAATCAGCATCGTGACCTTTGTACTGAGACACAGTACACCTTTAAAATAGAGTGTCCTCATATGTGCCAGCATCCTTGTGGCTTCCAATCTAAACAGTCAACATTACCACAGAAAAACTTCATTAGTTTTGAGAAGAGCAGCTCTCACATAAGTCAATGAGAATTTTTTTAAGTGAATGCTGAGCTTAAAATTCATTGTCAAGAGTATCAGCATCCAAAATAGGGCGAAAATTCATGCTTCAACTTACGTAGTCTGTCGTTCATTCCTAGTTTGAAATCACACTGCAGTGTATGTTATCAAGAGGACACTGTTTCCTGCGAGCCCATTTCCCCTCAGTGCTTCTCTGTAATCTCCAGGAGCCACCCTTGGGATAAGCCTTAGAATGAGACTAAGTTTGCTACTTGCATTTGGATTGCACAGGCGCCTAGCATGTGGTCAGATCAGAGACTTGGCATTCCTTCTGTGCTGCTTCTTCCCACTCTTCTAAGTCATAGAGAAAGATAAATAACCATTAGCACACTTGCAGTAAGCTATATGATGCCAAAATAATAGAAGAGCTGATATTTTGTTAGGATATAGGTTGTCACTAACCAGTACATCCTTGGAAGCAAGCATAATTATTTAGAAGGGGCAGGAATGTTGAAACCCTTGAGCTTGTTGTCAGCAATGGATGAAGGATGCTCTGAAACAAACTTACAGCCTGGATGTTTTCCTCAGAAGGTGCGGAAGTAGATTCTAATTATAATATCCACTGATAGTGCACAGCTTTGTGTAGTTTATAGCAGGTGACGTGTACAATACATCCAACTGTGTGAGTTAGACGGCACAGGTATTATCTATAACATTGAGCTGAAGAAATCAAGGTCTGCAGCTAAAAGTGATCACCCATGTTTCAGAGTTAGTATGAGCCAGGTTCTTCATTTTTAAAAGTGGGGTCCCTTGATGCAGAATGTTGTGCTCCTTTTATTCTGCAGGCAGCTTAGGATCATATTCTTCAGTGATCTGCGTCTTGGGGAAGGAAAGTCAGGGGCCACAGAAGCAGTAAATGGAGAATCAAACAAAGTGGGAATGTTAGTGGCACCACGCTCCACTTCAAAACAATCTTATTTCTCCTGACTGTTTAAACTGAAATTTCATGTAAGATTACATTTGAAATTTAAATATATATATAAAATTATATACATATAAATACAAATATATAATTATATAAATGTAAATATATATAACGAAATTTAAATATATATACACTATATATAATGTATGTATAGTAACTAAGCAACACAAAAAATAATGTTTTAGATGCCAGCATTGTACTACATCTTGTTTCATTTTCCAAACAGAGACAGCTCAAAATGATTGCTACACACTGGAGGATCTGTCTACATCCCAGATGCGTCCCTCTGTGACAAGTCCTGAACCTGGCCATAGATGACTGCTTAAGGTTGATATTTAAGCCAAAATGGGCCAATTTCATTACTTCTTACATATTAAATCAGATAGCTACAGCAAGTTAACAGCTGGAAACTGTCACCTTCACAATGGACAAGTGTAGCTTCTTAAACTACAGAGCTCTTTGGGTTGCTGCCCACTCTAAAATTTTTTGGAGTTTTTGTTGTTGGTGGTTTTTTTCATCTGTGTATTTCTTTGAGAGAGGGTCTTGCTAGGTACCCCCAGCTGGCCTTCAACTCCCTGTGTAGCCCATTCCTGGCCTTGAACTCCAGGTGATCCTCCTGCTGCAGCCTCCTCAATGCTGTGATTACAGGTGTGCACCACCATACCAGCTATGATGTTTTCCTCTTTTGATTCTCTCACAGTCCCTTCTATCACTTATGTTAGCTCAAACCTTTATCATCTCTTCTGCAACCACTAACGTCTAAGAAAGCAGAAATTTAAAAAATTGTTGGAGAAGTGGTGTTCTGTAATTCAGAACCAGTTTTTCTTTGAATTCTATATTTTTAATTTTTATTAGCACATGTTTGCAGTACATAATGGTATTTCCCACGGTGAGTTGGTGTGTGCGCATAAAACATCTCAATTCTTCTTCAGTCCCTCCTCTCCTCTCCTTCCCCTTTCCCTTCAGTTGTTGGTTCCCTTTCCTTTTACAAGAGAAAAAATATATAATTCGTAACATATTTGATCATAAGTCCTAAATCCATTAGGTATGAGGATTTTCATAACTTATTTCTAGTATATTTTCATAACAAATACAAATGAATCAAATAAAGGTACAGTTTGCTCTCTGTAAAAGCTAATAATTCAACGTTTCTCTGATAGTTATTCCAATTTTTTCTCAATTTCTCTTTACTTTTACAAATGCACTTTGATATTTGAAAAATCTTTAGCATTTTGTATGGTAATTATTCTAAATTATTTGAAAATAGCCTAATTAATTGCACAATATTATCATAAATATGGTCATCATTGCAAAGAAGATTTTATCTAAGCCCATATACTAAAGTAAGATTATACTAAAGTATTTGACATATGAAGTAAAATGCCCTTTATACTATATTAACAGAAGTTTGTGTGCATGTGTTATTTTTTATTAAGTTTATTGGTACATTTTAGGTATACATAATGATCACATCCATCATAGGAATTTGTGGGTACACGATTGTACTTAATTTTTTTTTCCCATTTCACACCCTCCCTTCAATCCCTCTTCCCCTCTTTATTTACAAAAGCTGCATTTCCATTTTCTCATTTTTTTCTTTCCCTTCCTTCTTTTTCCCCTCCCTCGCCCTAATTACCTTCCCATTTGGACATTTCCTTCCCATTTCAAAATATGTATTACACATTTTGGTCCTTATTTACACTTTCAGTTTCTCACACCAGAGAAACAATGCATTATTTACACACATGTGCCTGATTTATTTCACTTAAGAGTGTGGTCTCAAGGTATATGCATTTACCTAGAAATGTCTCAAACTTATACTTCTTTATGGTAGAGTAGTACTCTATTTTATAAAAAACCGACATCTTCCTTATCCATTCATCAGTTGATGGGCATTTGAGTTGTTTCCAAGATTTAGCTATTACAATCTATACTGCTATAAGCATGGGTGTGCATATATTGCTGCAGTGTGATGCTTTTAATTCTTCTGGGGAGAATTAAAAGCTATTTCCCAAAAAGGGAAATAGCTGGATCAAAGGGAACCTTTAGTCCTAACTTTCTGAGGAATCTTTAAACTAATTTCCACAGTGGTTGCACCAGTCTACATTTCCACCACCAGTGGAGGAGGGTTCCTTTTTCTCCACAGCCCCACCAGGATTTGTTAGTGGTTGATTTCTTGATAATAGCCATTCTTTCTGAGGTGAGATGGAATCAGAGAATCATCTTCATTTACAGTTTTCAAATGACCAATGATGCCGAACACGTTTTCAAATATCTATTTGCCACTTCTACTCCTTACTCTGAGAAATATTTCATTTCAGAGGTCCATCTTTGCATTGGGTCTTTAAATTTGAGAGGTCTGATTTTTTTGAGTTCTTTATATATTCTAGGTATTAGTCCTTTGTCCAAAGAACAGTTAGTAAAATATTTTTCCCACTCCGTGGGTTATCTCTTAGCTCTACTCACAGTTTCTCTTGCTGTGAAAAAGCTTTTTCATAAGATCTCAGTTGTTGATTCTTTGTGACCATTCATGTGACATTGGGGTTATGTTCATAAAATGTTTGCCTATACTAATGTCTTCAAGAGATTTACCTATTCTGTCCTGCCTTGCAGCAGATTTAGTGTTCTAATGTTTAGATCTTTGATCCATTTTGATTTTAGTTTAGTGTGCAGTGAAAGATAAGGGTGTAGTTTTCATCTTCAGCATGTGGGAAAGCCAGTTTTTTCGGAACAATTCATTGAAGAGGCTATCTTTCTTCCAGTGAAGATATATGGCACCTTTATCAAAGACAAAGTGGTTGAGTGTGTTTTGAGTTGATTCTGCATCTTCTAATCTGTTCCACTGATCCTTAGGTCTGGGTTTTTCAGTTTTTGTTTTGCCAGCACCACACTGTTATTATCACAGTAGCTTTGTAGTATAATTTTAAATCAGAAATTATCCTACCTTTTCTTTGTTGTCTACAATTGCCTTTGCTGTTATAGGTCTCTTCTTGTTCCAGATGAATTTTAGGACTGTTTTCTCTAATTCTATGAGATATGCTATTGGAATTTTGATTGGGAGTGCATTAGATCTCTATAATAATTTTGGAAGTATGGCCATTTTAAACCATGCTAGTTCTTCCTTCCCAAAAGCAAGGAATATCTTTCCATTTTGGGATATCCTCTTCAATGTCATTAACAGAAGTTGGAGGTGAACAAAATGAGTAATTTTATATAAAGGAAGATGTTACTAATGAAGATTAAACTTCTGAAGTTCTATTGTATTTCACAGTGTATTATTTTATTAACCTAAAGGAAAAGAAGACACCTTGCACAATTTTTAGCATCTATCATTATTCAATTAAATAGACTATTTGAAAAATAAAATTCTCGTGGTAAATTGCTGAACTTTGTCACTTCAGAAAGTCTTCTAATTATTTTTATGCTTTTTTTCTTAATAGGTGCACAATATCCTTTATGTTCTTTTATTTCAGGTAACCATCAGTTCATAGTGTATTACAATAACCTCTCAACTGGTTTGTTTCTCTGTCTATGTTTTTCTTGTCAGGTCAAATTCAGTCAAATGTATTCCTAGCCCAGAAATTATTCCTCATAACTGCACATACCCTTTTTTATCAGCTTACTAAAATTAATTTTAAAAACACTTTAATTTCATTTTCAGAAAACAATTTAACACATTGAAAAGTCATTCCAGAGTCTCCAAACTAATAATGCTTGGCTCAAACACAAAGTACTTTTATAAAGCCAGGCATCCTTAATACATTTTCTCTAATCTTCATAATAAGCTTAATGATACTTAGTTATTCCAGTTTTACAGCTGAAAAAACTGAGGCCAAAAGAACTGAACTAATTTTCCAAAGTAATATAGCTAATAAGAAGGGCATCTGTCTTTGAACACAAGTCTCTCTAGATTCCATAAACAAGTTTGGTAAAATAGTATGTGATATATTTGTCTTGCAAGCAAAATTTTCTGTTACCATTCCAAAGAATGGAAAAGTTGCACAGAATCAAATGCATCCTAATTTGATTTATGTAGCATTTTCCAAATGTATTGGACTGAACTCCCTTTTTCCACCTATACTACTGTTGTCACTAGCAGACTGCTGTAATGGTATTATTCATCAGCTTAATACACATCCGTGTGCCTCTTTTAATAGTTTTCCTGAGATGCTGTTTCTACTCCGTGTGACCATAGTTGTGCTATCAGTTATATATCCACCTTTTCTATGTACAGTGCTATTCTGTTGTTCAGTGAAATCACAGACCCAGCACTTTGAAACCAGCAAATGATCCAGGCGAAGCCAAGCAGAATCTTTCCTGCACAGTGGAAAAATTGCCCTCACAGAGGCATCTTTATGTCCCATTTATACAGAATGTTAAGAGAAACAAAGCCAAATAATGAGAGAATAACTGAAACTGTCCTATGTCCAACTGTGCCTAAAGTCAGCTTTGTCTTAGAATTTCAAAAACACAAGGCCAAAGAATTTTCTTTGGGAGCAATGTAGTTTGAATTTAAGTTCAACTATTACTTTTCTTCAAAAATAATCCTGACACATAAGAATATTTAAAATTTGTGTTGCATGCAATGTACTTTGTCACAAACAGCACAGATATATGCTTTATACAGTATTTAATTACCTTCATAATAGTGTAGGTCTGAACAGGCAACTTTTCCAGGTGTCTTTTTGAAGGTCATTTCGCTGACATATGGTACATACACAACTGCACACTGAAGGGCTACTAGCCACGTTTTCCCTTGTTGTTGTTTATCATGCGGTCACCCATAATGCGTGTCAATCACTTTAGTACTTACCTTGTTAATTCAACCCAGTCCTTTGTCTCACTCTCTAGAACCTCTATACCCAGAGAAGGACTTCTGCTAGTGACTTATTAAGATACTATGTTTAGTTGAAACTTATACGGGAATAACGAAAATAAGATGAGAAGAAGCCTACGAAGATGTACATGCAAATTCTAAATTCAGTGTCGTGCCTGGGGGAGTTCTGATCCGGGAGTGTCCACAGAGCTGTCATCTCAGTAACAATGTGACTCCAGTTCCCTGAGCGCAATTCTAAGGAGACCCTGAAACTGCAATGGTTCGCAGTTACTACTCACAGAAATGGTGATCGGGTGACTTCTAGTCAGCTGTAATCTCTCACTGTTCCCACAATGAATTTGAAGTACCTCTGAGAAACTGTGTAGTATACTTAAGTCTTACATCAAATTAATTTAGATAACTTAGTTTCATCAAAAATAGTGACAGCTGAATTAAAAAAATTGTTACAGTAAACAACACACTGCCATTAATTGCCTCTAAATATGTCCTCTTGCTCTGAACATACATATCCCACACTACCATTTATGCCACTTCCTGAAGC